GTTACGGACTGGAAGTAAATTATCAGACTCTGTTATTACTTGCAGCAATCAATGGCATCTTAGCAAAATGGCTGAATGTAATATTGTTATAAGTAAAAAACCAGCAACAAGGAAAATTCAAAAACAACTTTAAACAATGTAAAAACATGTAAAGGGTCTCTTTATTGTAGTTTCATAGCAATAGAATGTAGTCTATTCCGCTGAGAGGTACGCAAAAGTCATACTATGGCAAAATGGTTTTTCTTGAATATTTCCTAAAACACTCTGGAGAAACAAGAGAAGTTGCCTAAACAATATACTAAATTAAGTAACAACATTTCAAGACAAAAATGCACTCACATGCAGAAACAAATATTTGGGCTACAGAGGTACGCAAATGGAATTTTAGCCGGCCATAAATTGAAGATTTAACCAATTTAAAACAAATATTAACTTACAATAACCTATCAGAACCTTGAATTCGCTATTATAACTTTGCAGTAGATTTTTCATAAAGCTAAATACATTTATAAAAGAAAAAAGGGCAACTTCATACTCCAGTCATTGAGAGCCGCCATCTTGAAAATGATAACAGAGACTGCAAAAAGTTTTTATACACAAATGATGTGCTCACGTGATCCCGTTGCCAATCCCAGTTATGTAGTCTATTATATCCCTGTTGACGCATACTCCCATTTGTTTATATAGCACTTCCGGTAGTGACACTAGCACATGAAAAGCCATGCATCATATTTATACTAAAACACAAAAAAATGCATATCAAATCCGAACAAAAGAAAAACGAATACCAAAACAGATACTTTTATAAACAAATAATTTTATTTCTTAAATTTTTTCTGAGGTCCAAATGCCATTAAGAAATAGATGACCTGGCTTTTATTTAAGAAAATATGGTAATATGATAAGTATTAATTACCATACCATGATAGAATTGATAGCTATTGTTGTTATATACCATGACAGCTATTGATTTTGAAGCTTAATTATGTGTCTGGCATCATTAAGATATTTTTGGAATCCTAAATCCCAATTTGCATTGTTGCATTTCCTTTTGTACCTGCTATGTTGTCTCACTTTGTTTCTTAAGTAAACTTAAAACATTCCTCTTACCTTTCTTTATAAAACAGTTGGTGTGTCAATTTTCATTTATTTTATGTACTCTCAGTCCTATTTTATTTAAATTAATTACCACACACACACACACACACATACGATCACATCATTCCTTTAATATGGTCAGGTTTATATTTTTTATTATGATCCTGTTTAGTATGATCATTGATATAACACACACACACACACTGCAGAAATTTTTGTGCATCTGTCTAACTTGAGGGTCCAACATGGCTTTGGTTTTTACGACCTGGGGTAAAGTCCCCAGGTCGTTCTTATAATTGATTTCACCCATGTGCGATGTATATAATGTCAAAAAGAAGCATTAGAAGGCAGAGAGAACCTGTCATACACCATGAAACTTGTTTCATAAAATTTAGTTTTATGAAACATCTTTTATACA